AGTACTAATTCCTTAGCTTGCTGCCCATCTTTTCTGTATCAGATATGCTGCATTTCAAGGCTATTGTAGAGAACTGAAAAAAAGAAAGAAACACAAAACTTTCATTGTTAAACCAGCAAACGGAGCTATGGGAAATGGGTAAGTTTGACAAAAAATTTTAAATTTTGAATTTTACCATCATCTCCATTATATTCATCATAAATAAAAACCATATGCGTCAGCTTTTTTTCTCAACTTGCAGACAAAGTTCTCGTAAATTATCACAAAAAGAACATGTTGCATTTATTGTTCAATGCAGGGCTAAGATAACCCAAGCTTTAAGTGTGAAATCTGAATTAAGATCTGTAAGTTCTAAAAGAAAGTTTAATATTAGGCTTTTCTTTGCCCTCAATGTTATGATTGAATGGCTAAAAAAGAATGAAGAGAATCGTATGAAAAAAGCTTTCAAATGACCAGATGATAACAAAGAATTAAAATTTAACCCTGGAATAACATTAATTGGCCTAGCTAAAAACAACTGGGCTCTGTGCAATATGACATTTTTAATTATGTCTAGATCCAATCTGTCATTCCACTAATCAGTGGCAAGTGAAGCCTTCCATTACATGTACATATAAAGCTTCATTTTTCCTCAATTTGAGTAAAAATTAAAGATGTTATCATAACTATGTAACTTAGTTTCTTTTAATTAATTGGTACTGTAAATTGTGATATCTGATAATTAATACATCTCTCTCCAAATTTTAGGATATCTCTGGTAGGAAATGGAGACAGAATCCCATCTCATGAGCAGATTGTGGTCCAGGAGTACCTTGATAAAGTAAACTTGTTTACAAACATTGCATTTACTATGATATATTAACAGTGTGCAGTAATAATTCTGGGTCTTGTTGTTTTAAAGCTGATTAGGGCTTAAAACCGTAAAGTTAAATTTTAATTTGGGTTTCTTTATTCATATGGATGAGCTTTTCCAGGATAGGTTAATTACTCTCTTCTTTTTACAACATCCAGTGATGAAATTATAAACAAATTAAGATAATTATTCTGAATATTTTTTAAAAGCTTTCGGATCTAAAATCATATTTCAGACTAACCCTGTAGGTATCTTAACCTAGCTTTGTTCATGAAAGTTGCAGTGACTTTTGTACTAATAAATTCATTATTTGTTGCATTATTTATAGCCTTTTCACCTTGAGGGATTCAAGTTTGATCTTAGAGTATATGTTTTAGTAACATCGATCATGTGATCCACTGAGGATATTTTTATATCATGATGGACTTGTAAGTGAATTTTTGTCATCATATGATTATTTGAACATTTCAGTTGTAGCCGTCTGCCATACAATTCATGTAAACATAATTCATGAAAGAAAAGGAAGGGCTTTACATTTCAAACACAACTTTCCTTTTTTGTAATGAATACCAAACTGTTGTAATGTACTACAAATGTAATGGTAAATGGTGCTGTTTG